GGGATTTGGACAGGCTTGAGAGGTGGGCCCATGCCAAACTCATGAAATTCAACAAGGCAAAGAGCAAGGTCCTGCACCTGGATCGGGACAGTCCCAAGCAGAAATGCAAGTTGGGCAGAGAATGGCTTGAGAGCAGCCCTGAGGAGGAGGTTTTGGGGGTGTCGGTTGATGAAAGATTCCACATAAGCCAGCAGTGTGAACTTACAGCCCCGAGGGCCAACTGTATCCTGGATTGCATCAAGAGAAGTGTGACCAGCAGATCAAAGAAAGTTTTTCTGCCCATCTGCTCTGCTCTCGTGAGACTCCACATGGAGTACTGCATCCAGTTCTGGGGTTTCCAACACAAGAATGACAAGGATTTGCTGGAGCAGGCCCAGAGGAGGGCCACAAAGATGATCAGAAGGCTAGAGCATGTCTCCTACAAGGACAAGCTGAGAGTGCTGGGGCTCTTGAGCCTAGAGAAGAGAAGGCTCAAGAGGGACCTTACAACAACCTTCTAGTACCTGAAAGGGACCTGCAGGAAAGCTGGGTTGGGACTTTTTAGAAGGGCATGTAGTGAAAGAAAAAGGGGAAATGGTTTTAAACTGGAAGAGGATAGGTTTAGACTAGATATTAGGAAGAAATTCTGAACTGTGAAGGCGGTGAGACACTGGAACTGGTTGCCCAGAGAGGTTGTGGATGCCTCATCCACATTCAGCATTCAAAGCCAGGCTGGATGGAGCTTTGAGTAACCTGGTCTAGAGGGAGGTGTCCCTGCCTATAGCAGATGGAGTTGGAACAAGATGATCTTAAGTGTCCCATCCAGCCCAAATCATTCTATGATTCTATGCTATAAAGAAGCTTACTGCTCTATGTCCCACTGTCTCAACCTCTTTCAAAACAAGTGAATACTTCTTGTCACAGTTGTATCAATTTGCTTCAGTAAGGAAGTCAGCACTTCAGGTTAATGATGGCATTCAGCAACAGTGAATTAACCCATATCAAGTTTCAAATAATGCTTGTTCAACAGACTTTTTCTTAGTTCTCTGAAAAAATAATGTATTCTTCCCAATAGCACTACATACACTGTTTGATTTGGAAGATAAGAAATACAGCTTCATGCCACACAAACTGCTGTAAGAGAGGTTGATATTACCCAACTTATCATAACCACCTAAAGTTAATATGTATGGCTGAATCAATAAAAATATCCACAACTGACAGGAGCCTCTATAACTTTGCACTCCAGGAGACATATCAATATCATTCAACCAAATGAAGAAATTTCTGCTCTTAAAATGGTTCAAAATAAATTCAGTGCAATTGTAAATTTGATTTTTCAGTAATCTAAGCATTAAAAGGTGTCTTTTTTTCATATATCATAGAACTCCAGGGGGAAATGTAGTTTGAAGTCGAAAACAGATGTCAAATACAACCACTCTTTTAATAACTATCTTCAATCAGTTGAAAATATAAGCCTCCTATCTAGCTCTTATTTTTTAATTAGTTTAAAAAGCTTTAATAAGTATGTAGCTTGCAATGTATTTCGTCTCCAGTTTCTTCTTTCCTTAATTAATTTAGATTTACTATGTTACTCTGTTCAGGCTTAGTGAGTGAGTCTGAAAGTGAGGCAAATTAATTTTCTCATTTCATTTTTGTTTCGTTGTCCATTAGTTTCCCAAAATACTGTAGCTTTTGAAGAATGTCAACTACTTTTGCTGAAGATCTGTCTGAATCAGGATATCCAACAAATGGTAGAGTTACATACCAAGAAAAAACTGCTCTATTTCCTTGGGGTACATTATAATAGGAAACACTCTTAAGCTATATAGAACAATATCATCTCAGGAGATCTTTAAAATTATCTTGGAACTGGTCAGCTGAATTAAAAGCTGAAATAAATTCACCAATAGCAGTACATTTTCATGGCTAGTGTGGCAACTCAGTAAGGAAGACGATTATCAGAACAAAACCACAACAGACCTCATGAAAATCATAAAATACAGGCATTTGGAAAATTATAGACTTAAAGGACTTTCCCACTTAATCTGGGGTGGGGAAAAAAAAAAAAAAACCTAACAATCTAACAAACAACAAGATACAGAGGCTTGTGTTACACTAAGCTAAATTGCACAGAATTGATATTGAAATTGATTTTTGTATAGTCTAAACATTATTGTACATGAAAAAAAACCACAACGCTTTAATATTTGATTTACTTTTTGAGCTGGTTTAGAGTACTGGGAATGTTTTCCTCTTCTGCGATAATGATACATAAATTAAGGATAGAAGACTCTTTTGCATACTGTTTGAAGAAACCTTTGAGTATTTTAAATGAAGGAAAGATGAATTTAATAGTTTATTAATTTGTTTTCTAGACTAATATAGTTTACTATGCATATATTCAAGTTTTATGGAAACTAAAACAGTCTCAGAATATTAGTTACTACTTGCACTGTAAGCTTTTAGGACCTCCACAAGATACTGTGATCTTAATGAGCATTTAACTAACAAAATTAGAATCTTATTTTAGTTTATCTTCTTCAGTTACTTAGAAAATGATACCAGTGGTGTCATTCTCGCAGCACTGAGAAAATTCAGTAAATGTCATCTTTAATTGATACATTTCAGATCATTAAAACATCACTGAAAAATACCGTGCTGACAACACAACTTCTTCTCAAAACAGCGAGGTGAGCCTGAAGAAATACTGGGAGCTAATGAGCAGAAGTGTTTAAGTACTCTGGAATACACACTAGATAATGGTCTATGCTGGAACAGTAGATGAATTTTCAGAATTCCAGGCAGCCAACAAGAAATGGACTCTGTTTCAAATGCCTGTACATACCTAGTAAGCTTCGGAACAATGAGTTTATATTCATGTGATGAGGAATATAAAGAAAGGTAGAACTAGAAGGACAAGAAGAACTTCTTTTGCCAAACACCTTTTACTTCCCTTTCTTTGAGAGGTTCCTGATCTTTCCCAGTCTTCTTTAAGTGCAACTGCTTGAGTCTGATATTACAGGAAGCAATGGTGAAAATAAAAAAAAATGTAGTGTAAGCAGAGAAGGCTGTATGCCTTGGCCTCTTTTCAAGTCCTTGAGGAGCCTAATTCTGGCTCTAATAATTTTGTCTTCCATCTTCCAGTGGTATTCTGGAGTGCACTTAAAGGAACATGGCCAACAGATCAAGGAAGATGACCCTCCCCCTCTGCTCTGCCCAGGTGAGGCCACATCTGGAATACTGGGTGCAGTTCTGGGTTCTTCAGTTCAAGAAAGACAGAGAACTTCTAGAGAGATTAAGTGGAAGGCCCCAAAGATGATGAAGGGTCTGAAGCACCTCCTGTATGAGGAAACGCTGAGAGACCTGGGGTTGTTCAACCTGCAAAAGAGAAAGCTGAGAGACGATCTTATCATGCTTATAAATATTTATGAATTAAAAAAATTAAATACCTGAAGGGCAGTAGTGGATGCAGGTAGGCTTTTTCAGCAGTGCCCAGTGATAGGACAAGAGGCAACAGGTACAAACTGGAACACAAGAAGTTCCAAGTGAAAAAACTTCTTTACTGTGATGGTGCCAACAGAGCACTGGAACAGGCTGCCCAGGGAAGCTGTGGGGTCTCCTTCTATAAAGATATTCAAAACCTGCCTGAATGCTTTCCTGTGCAACCTGCTTTAGAGATCCAGCTTTAGCAGGGGGTTGGACTAGATGATCTCTAGAGGTCCCTTCCAACTCCTACAATTCTGTGATTACCTAATATTAATAATTGCTTTAGTCCTATTAATAATAGAAAATCAAAATCAAAAGATATATTTTTTTCTCCTCTACCAAACACTGATACAGAAAATGTAAGAGACATCTGCTAATATTTACTATTTTTTAAACTTGAAAAAAGTAGTAATAATAAAAATTATTATTATAATAAAAATACAATAAGCAGTATGTTTGCTTTTACGGATTTTCAAAAAAGATAAAATAAGCTAATTTTGAAGGGATTTTTTCCCTTACATAAAAAGTATAAGGTATATTATACATTAATTCTCACAACCCAAGATACAGCTGTACAATAAAAACATAGGGAAAATGCAATTAACTAATTTGACTTGGTAAGAGCTACCTTCTTTTGGCTTTTTGTCCAGAAATGCAAAAACAGTATGGCAAATACTAAAAACGAAAAGGAACATGTCACAAAGAGTTAAGAGAGAATATCTAAGCTTTACTGCATAAAAATTATTAATGGAATTTTGCATTAATCCATACAAAGAGAATAATACCTTGACAATCAAAAAAGTGAGATTTTTAGTTTACTGACAAAATATGAGTAGGTACTGTCTGTCCCGAAAAGAGCATATTTGAGCACCATTTCAGAAAGAATCTCCTGAAACCCTAAGAACCTGATTTTGCACATTTAGTGCTGTAGAAATCAGTAAGAACTTCTTGAATGCCCAAATACTAGTATAGACTATTCAACTCCAGCTGTGGTGCCCCTGTTCATTGCAGGGGAGTTAGATAAGATGGCCCTCAGAGGTCCCTTCCAACCCAAAGGATTCTATGAGTCTATAATTCTACGGAAAGATTCTTTTATGATTTTTTCTCTTGTACTTTCAAGAACAAACTCTACAATTTGATTTATGTTTGTAATGGTCTTTAGCCGGGATAATACTGCAGTGGAAGATTAACTAATGCAGAAAACAAGAGTCCTCAGAACTGCTGATTTACTCTGTGGAAGATAAGTTTTTCAAGTGGTCTTCAAACTTTCCATTTTTATAGTGATTCAGTCATAAATATTAATATCTTTTTTCTCTAATGCATGGAACAACTTGTAAAAAAACTTACAGAGGTGTATATGCTATTTACAAACAAAAAAATCAAACAAACCCCAAACCAATAAAATACGTTTTGCCAACATCTCTGGGTACACTGCAGTCATGTGCAATAAGACATAGAGTCTGAAACACCGTATTTTCTGTTTTTCATTACATAGTACAATATATGTAAATTACCACAATGTACTATTTCAGTGCCAGGAATTTATTGGCCCTACTGACTCTCCTGTTCTCCATACTGAATAGTTGCAGCTCTTTCAGGTTCTCCTTACAGGAAAGGTGCTCAAGACCCTCAACCATCTTGGTGGCCATCTGTTGCACTCTCTCCAGTATGTCCACGTTTCCTTTGTACAGGGTGGCTCAGAATTGATTTATCATATTACAGAACGCCAACTGTGGTTTTGTCCTCGCACATTAGTTTTTGTAACTTTATGCCATATCATCTCAGCACTTTATGGCAGCTATAGAAAGGACCACCTGAAAGCTTATCTCCTAACCAATCTGAGGAGTGGTTTGATCTTCACTTCCCAGTCAACTCTTGATTTGTTTTCTGCGAGGACATAGAAAGTTGGTAACCAATTCTAACTTGGTACTAAAACTTGAGCTGAGGTCAGCACACAGGGTGAGCAAACACATTGCAACTAAAGAATCAAAAGCCAAGAGTAAAGGATACATCTGGGAGCCTGGAGTACTCTGTGAGCACAGTCTCCAGCACAAGTATACTTCTACACCACGCGCACACACACAAGCAAAGAGCCACCACACACTCAACTAATCCCACGGCCCATTGCGCCCTTTATAGCCGCCGTACCCCCGTCCCGGCAGTGCCCTCATTCCCCCAATCACGGACTGTCGGCGCCGAGCACGCGCGCTTATGTGCGCGATGCGGAGAAGGGGGCGGGCCGGAGAGGCGGGCCGGGGCCGAGCGTGAAATCCGCATCCGGGTGAGGCCGCAGCGCGTGGGGCTCGTGTGTGGGGGATGGATTTTAGGAGTAGGGAGCGATGTGACTTGCTTTGCGCGCACGGTCTGCGCGGGTGCGTTGGGGACGCACAGCGGTCCTAACAGCCGTGCCGGTGTCTGGCGGGGGCGGTCGCTGGAACGTCAGGCGGGATGAGGAAGCTCTGCTGTGAGGGCAGCTTGCCCGCGTTAGCTGAGCCTAACAGAGAGGAGCAGCCATTAATTCCGGCACCCTCACCTTCTTCTTCCCTGGGCCGTTTAGCTACTGCCAGTGGTAGTGGAACCGCGGCGGCTGCTGTAGGTGCTGCTGTAGGTGCTTCTCTCCTGAGGCCTACCTTTCTTTGTGCCGCCGACTGGTTGCTTCTCCGTGCTGCCTGAGGGCCGGGCCCACCTGCGCAACTGTCATGACACTAGTGGTGGCCATGCTCTGTGGGCGTGTGGCTATGGGAATGCTCAGATGGGGTTATAGCAACACATCAGTGGAGCTGTTGTGTTTTCCAGTCTCTGCTCTGGAAAACTGATGGCAGTGGAAAGGCAGTGTAGATAGTTCTCTAGCCCAGTGCTTTGGAAATGACCTCTGTCCATTTGCTTCTGAGGAGGAGAGGGTGTTTGTGACCAAGGTTTCTGACGTTATCAGAAATCTTACATCGTGGGGAAACATCTAGTAAGATTTTCAGTGCTGTCTATGTACTTAATATCTGTTTATGTAAAGGGTGTTAGGTATTGAAGTATTTCTGAATAGCTATCTGAGTCCTTGGGCTTCTAAAAACTTGTCTATAAATCTAGTCTTTAAGCATTTTAGTACTGTAGAATTCTCTTTTTTATAATAGGTCTGACTGTCACCTGTTGGGATCTCAGCATCTGAGCTCTACCTTTTGCTCTAGGATAGTCCCTTCATGAGCTCTGTATGCAGCTTTAGCTCTTCTCAGCAGGCTATAATTTATTCTGTAAGCATTTATCCTTTCTGTCTGAGTAATTAATTTTGCCCATCAACTGTACACTGTGGATGTTTTTCTTGCCATTTTATTGCTGCATTTTAGTGCAGCATTTTATTTGACTGTTTTTTTTCTGTCTTGGTACTTGAAGACTTGTTGATACAGAGTTGTATAACTTCTCATTTCTTTGTAGCTATTTTGTTTTCTTTTGCTCTTTGTATTTTGCTCTATTTTGTTTCTTCATTGCATGATTTTGTTCTGCCTCCATATGCCTAGTTTGGGTATCTGAGTAACTGTTGGTGCAAGTGTACTGGTATTTTGTGGGGTTTTTTTCTTTTTAGGATGTTAATTTTTCTGCCACTAATACAGGAAGTAGACTGCTGATCATTTTCAAAGAGTGTTTGTAGGATACATGATGTCTTCTAACAAGTGCAGTAATGACCTTTGTACTGATAGGACTTGAAAGGAGTAGGAAAAAAAATCACAGCAGTGTTTGAATGAGATGCCTGAATGTACAATTAATAGGATACAGCCTTTCAAGGAACCTCTTAAAAACATGCTTGAAAATATAGTGCACATTTATTTTACGCTGTTTTGAAAAGAAAACCATGAAGTATAGGAGACAAACTTAGATGCTTTTGTGCATAGTCTCAGTAATGCCTTCTGCTATTAGCATTTGGAGATCATAATGTTCTAGACTGGTTTCTTCTACCTTGAAGCTGAGGTGATATTTTATTGTAGCTCACCTGAGGAGGTCTGTGGATTTTCTCCACACCAAATTGAGACTGGATATAGCAACAATTGAAAAGTGATTATACCCGGTGACCTGTTCATATCTGTGTTGTTCACATTGATTTTGAGATGCTGATTGGTCTTCACTAGAACCTGGAGTGCAGTTTAAGTACTTCTGTACTCAGTTACTCATTCCTTGGTTGTTGTCTGGTTGTCTTTGAATGCTGTAGACCAGCTCCTTTATATCTCTTCCCAGGTGACAAAACCACAGCTAGAGGTCAGTGATGAAAATATGTTCTCTAGACTCTGTTAGCAGCTTATGTGGTGTCAGCCTGATGTTCAGGATGATAGTTACATAGATTTCTGAGTGGCAAAATACAATTATGCTATAATGTGTGTTTCTGATTCAAAGGAACAAATGGCTAGCAATCCTAAGGGCAATAACAGTGGTTCTCCAAATGTTTTTAGAACTGCTAAGACACCTAGGTATGATGCATGTCTGAGCAGTTGGCTTGGTTCCTCCTGGCTTCCTGAAAGCCAACTTCCAGGAAGGCTTGTAACACCAAATGGAAAAAGTTTGTGGTATGATGGAAACAAGTTTTCTGTCAGTCTTCAGAGCTCTCAATACCTTCTTTCTCATGTTATTTGAGTCCATGTAGATTCATAAGGTGGTTGTTTCATTCTGCAGTAATCTGGTATGCTTGTGTTCTGTAATCTGCTATTGTCAATCTGTGCAATTTTTGATTCCTTTAAATGCCTGTGTAAGAAATATCTTTCTATTTAAATAAAAGTAATTTAGTTGTAGTAATGGAGGAGAAAAACCTCTTCTTAAACAAGTCTTGATATTATTTTTCAGCTATATTTTTTCTTTTGTCTAGAGCTTTTTCACTAGTATGGGGGCTTGGGTTGCAGACGGTAAATTTTAAGTCATGCAGATTAAATCTGCCTTTAAGTATACTTTAAGTAATAGACTATCTAGAATGTGCTGCAAGTTAGTTTTCAGGCAGTGTAACTCTTGTTACATTTAATCTCTTTTTTACTTACATATTTAGCATAAGAATGCATCAGAATTGAAGGCAAGAGTTATTTTTCTGTTTTATAAAATTTATGTTTAATATGCAAATAACCATCACTTGTGCTAATAAAAAGAAATACTTTTAGGCTTTCTCACTTTTGATAATGCCTGCTGCAGCTATAATCTCTTTCCTGGTATATTGCTGAAGTACCTGCTTTCCAGACTTGAGTCTCCAGAAGTGGTGCAATTGTAACATAAAGGAATTAAGTTATTTGTAATTTTCTTTATGTAGAATAACACAAAACGTAGAATTTCTTAGCATACAGTGGGAATTGTATTCTTTCATCCTAAAGAGTTTGGGATGAACTTTCCTTTTATGAAAAGATAGCTGGCTTTTGCCCTTTAAATTGTTCAGCTGACAGGCTTATTTTTGGAATGAATGAAATGAATTTTCAGGCTTCTACTCATTGCTTCAATGAAGTCTTAAAAAGGGAAATTTGGTCTTAGGGTATTCAGACTATGTTTGGAGAAGTAGAATCAAGTTATCCATACACTTTTGCTTTTTTTTTTTTTTTTTTCATTGATTTACATTGACTTTTTCAAGTCACGATGAGCATTCGCAAATAGATTAAAAAGGTTGGCCTTATAAAACTCTTCTGAAGTTTTTCATAAACTGGTTGTGGAATGTGTCAGTCTTAGCTTGTTTATAAGGTTAATGTTTCATGTTGATGGTGTTGTTACAGATACTGTCTAGTAAACTTTTCAAGCCTTTGAAACAGGAATGAACATGATAATTATAAAAGTATTCTGGATTCTTAGTAGGAAAAACATATTTCTAATGCCTGTATACATTTGAGCACATTTTTAAACTCACTGCTATGTGCTGAACATTTTGAAGAAAAAATCTGTTTTTTATTACTTGTCATTGAAGTGATCACAATTCATTGTTTATATGTATTTCAGCGAAGAATATGGGAATGACTGTAGCTTAAATGGCTAACTTTAATCTTTATGAAATAAAACTTTTATTACATTTTCATGAAGTTCTAAATTTCATGTAACAAAAACACACTTGTTCAAATCATTGTGCTAGTTTAGAATAAAAAAAATCTAATCTCAGCTAGTTTATGGAACACTGAGGCAGTATTATTATTATAGGGTAACACTAGTATATAGCTTCAATAACACTTTTAAAATATAGTTTTCATTTATTCAGTACTTTCTTGATCAAATAACCAAATTTTAATCTTTTAGCTATTTTCTGACACCATGTAACATCCTAATACTTTAACATTAATTAGGTAAGTTTTCAGATACAGTGGAATATAAGTTGGGTCTTGTCCAATTCTCTTACCTTTAAACTCTCAGGAATATTACTACTTTAGTACAGATCTCCTGGAAAAGGTGGAAAATCTTTGTGCGCAGTTGTAAACTAATCTTACTTGATTCTGCTACAGTATGGTGGGTTTTTTGGTTGTTTTATTGTTAGTTTTTGTTTTTCTTTAGGAAAACTTAATTAAAATAGTTATGCTGGTAGCAAGGATGTTTCCAAATTGAGATTCTTGCTTCTATTCATCTTCTCTTCGAACTATAAAGGAAAACAATTTGTACTGGAGTCCTTATTGCTTGTAGTCTGTAAATACAATTGGAAATTAGCACTGAAGACTGATAGTGTTAAAAACTAATTTATTTGTAAACAAGGAATATAAGCATATATTAAAGCACAAAACATTCAAAAAGCAAATTATTCCAACTGGGAAAATTACTAATTTTGAGACTGATCCAGAATGTGTTAGTGAACTATTGCTTTTACATCAGCCAAGAACTTAAAAAGGGACTTAATGTACTACATAGTGTCTGTAAAAACAGTTCACAATGGTGTTACCAATGTTAAAAACAGTAATGTTTGAGTATAATTATTGGTTGTTTTTTTCCCTCCAGTTTTGGTATGTAATAAGGAATTGTGCTGTTATTATGGATTACTGTATTCTTAAGGGTTTTTAATGTAATTATTTTATGCACTAAAACAACACAGGCCAAGGATGTATGTATGCTCTCGGTTTGAATAGGAGCAGAAGAATATGCAGTTGGCCAGCATCTGTTTCAGCCAGATAAATGTGTGTAAAAATACAAGGAAAAGATTTAGGGAGTGATTGTATTCTGTTCAGTTTTTTGGCTTATCTGGAGAAAAAAAAAAAAAGTAACATGCCAGTGTTTTGCAAATGTATGAAGTTAATATGTAGGCTGCTTAGAAAGTGATGCCTCCTATTTGTTTCAGTAGAAACTACAACAGATACAATGACC